ACAAGTAGACAAGTAGACAAGTAGACAAGTAGACCAGTAGACCAGTAGACCAATAGACAAGTAGACAAGTAGACAAGTAGACAAGAATTTAGGAATTTAGCAATGAATAATGAAAATATTAATGAATACCTCAATAATATGATTTTACAAACATACATCTTAAGGTCAAATTCCTTAAAAGCAGCCACACAGTACACTACTTGATTTATTTTCCCTCGAGCGGCCCTCTTAAGATCTCCCGCAGTTCTTTTTACCTCCCCCCCCCCCTCTCTTACAGGTTCTGTTAAGATCCAATTTTGAGAACTACCATGTCATCAATTAAGACATCAAATTTGGCTTTTTTCTCCCTCCCATGTTTTTACACCCAAGAAAAGTCGATCACCTTTTTTGGCCTTTATCAAAAAAAAAATTTTATGTGAAGAAACTTAATTGTTTTAATGAGTTTTGAAATAAAATATTTTTTGACATTGATGATTTTTTCGGGTTTCCGAATATTCGAAAAATCTGAGAGTGTTGGTTCCAATCAGTTGGGTGACTATTAATCTCAGGATTCTATTGTTTTTTCAACCATAATAGCCCGTAATATCCCCCATCCGGGACCACCAGCACACAAACTAGAGGGGGGGGGGGCTCACTAGAGGGGGGGGGGGCTCACCATTTTGTTCTGAAAATTGTCCTGGTTTTGTAGTAAAGCAATCTTACTTTTTATCATCCGCTTAAAAATGTTTTTATTTTTTTCTATTTGGACTAGTCTTTTAAAAATCATTTCGGAAGACATTTCTCAATCCATTTTTTTTACTTTTTTTCTGCTTTGCTTTTATTTTCAGTTTCCTTTCTAGAAAATAGGGATCCAACAATAAGAAGATTAATTATTAATGTGTGAAAGTGATTGATATTAATGCTTGTCTTATAAAGAATATATATATATATATATATGAATGAATAAAAACTTATAATTCAGATAGCAAATTTTTTTTCAAAATTACACATTAATCCCTTTCAATACCTCTTTTTCATGAGCAATTGCTGAAACACTACCTTTAAATCCAAACAAAGGAACTCTCGTTACAAACTCTGATTTTTAAAAATATTTTTTCAAATATTTCAATGTTGTAAGCAATAGATGTAACATTTGAATTTTTTATTTTTTGTCATTGATTACATTTTTTATGGTTATTTTTGTTACATTTTTTTATCTTGGTCTGGAAACCTACTCAAAGAAATACCCAATAAACTGTGGAATAGGAAGACGACATTTAGGAAATATTTTGTGCATTTAATGTTGTTATAAAGAAAATAGTTTTACCAACAGCTTCAAAATCAATCACTACGTGATATTGTTCTGTGTGCACTGCACAACTATAATGTATTTTTGGATTTTTCAAAATCATAGCAAAATCGAACAGTAATCACTTCTAGCTTGTTTGTATGTCCGATCATAACACAGGAACCCCTGCAGACCGATTTTCCTCAAATTTTGATAGGGGAACTCGGAAGAACCACAGGAATTGTCTTAAACTGGTTTAAAGATTCTTAGTTTAGAGTTTTTACTTTAAATTGTAAAGGTCTAGACAAAGCTGGGTTCCCCGGCTAGTATTAAAATATTAGAAAAGAAGAAAAGTGAAATTAACTAAACTGAACATATATTTAAACTAGAAGACAAGATAAATATGTATAAACATGATTTTAACTGGATCTACTACAACCATATTGTTCTACCCAATATTGATTTATGGACTCTCAGGTGGGTTTTTTTTAATTTTATGTTTTAGATGCCTCATTATCAATTTGAGAAATGAGTTTTTCTCATCTTCGAAAAAAAATCTACGATTTAAAAAAAATCAGCGTTAGATCACTAGATTTTTTTTCAGTCGAGCATATTAATAAACACCATAATAGGGTAGAACAATCAGCAAAACTAATACAATAAACTATAATCACAGCCATGAACCATTGGTTCAGAGGATCAGCCATCAGAGGTTGAATATTACGATAAGAAACCGTTAACAAGGATTTTACCAAGAGATTTCGCAAAATAAGAATTTAATTAAAATTTCTATTGTGATGGCTTTATTTGCAGAGTTTACAAATTTAAACGTTGTTTTTTGGGGTTTAGTTTGGCATCTAAACAGATTTACTTTGGAGGGGAGAGAGAGATGGGGGGGGGGGGGGGGGGGGGTGTAGGGTACTAGGATTGACAGGCCTGATTTGGTAGGGCGAGGGAATGATTGACACCTCTATCATGTTTAATGAAACCGCAGGATATTTAAGATTGTGTTTACGCGGTATAGCGCGCTTATTTTCGTAACTCCAGAGTATATAATTTGAATGTCAGAAAGATTGTTTGAAACATGTTTTCATATAGTTTTGACAAGTATTTTTATCACTGGTACGTCTAACTGTTGACAAATAGTTCTGTTTATTCTATGCTCGGTGTGCGTGGTGGCCATTTTTGGGAATTAGTTTAAGTTTGAATCACGAGCGCACGGACCGCGGAGTTTTCACGAAGTTTCGGCTTCATTTCCCGGAACTATATCTTTTCATCTCTCTTATCCTTACGGGGATCTTTCAATCTGAATCCTCGACTCTGATTGGTGGAGAGCTAGATTCCGGGCTTCTGATTGGTGAATGACGTGATGCGTGGTGCATGCCGCGGTCACCAAGCAAAAGATGGGGAGCAAGGCAAAGTAGGGGAAGTGTATGATGGCTAAGGGAAGTGGGTATGGGGTGATGTAAGGGATGGCGGGAGTGGGAGTGGTGACTGTTCAATGGAGTCTTTTCAACATCTTTCTTCAGCTCCTCCATATCTCGTTTAAACTTGGCCCGACGGTTTTGGAACCAGCATATAACCTAAATTAATATAAAATTTATTTTATGAAAATATGTAAAATGTAATTTTACACGAGCTTATCTCCCTAAAAATCAGAATTGTCAGGGTATCTTTTGTTATCATGAAACCCGTTGAAATTTAAAAATTTAATCGATGATTTTCAAAACAATGGTGAATTTTCTTTATACCCCAGCAATTATAAAGTCAATCATATAGAAGGGAGTTAAGGTGGCAGGGGGGGGGTTTATATGAGAT